ATATATATATATATCCTATTAATTATTTTTCTAATACGTCCCTTTTAAATTAGTCTGTTGGATATGCATGTGTTATTTGAAATTGTATTGTCTTTTTTTTTTCCCCTATATCTTTAGATCGAATCTCATATTATCCTTATAAGATTTTCTTAAAGAATTTTTCTATACTAAAATTAAAAGATATTTTTCAGTAAAAAAATTCTTATAAACGTGTATTCAAACATATTCGTATTATTAATAAATCGATCCAATAATATACAAATATTAGTGCCATTGAGAATTGATAGACAAAGCACATATAACTAAATCAAATCACCTAGACAATGGCACTTGAAAGATAAAAGAATTGAGTGAATAGAAGTGGTCCACTGCTGTTGCAACTGCCCTTAGTCCTTATCATTTCCCCAACACTTGTTTATCATAATTTTCAGTCCCCATTCTCCCCAACCACAATTTCAAAGTCACTCCCTATTGTTCGGACCCCATGTGTTGCAGTTGCAGAAAGATATACTAACCATGAGATGACACCAATTTGAATTTTATTTTTTTCCTTCTGCATGCCCTAGTAGTCAATAGGGCTTGATTTTGACATACTGTCCCTGCTACTCAGACTTGTGATGTGCATGTTGCCATAAACATTAATTTTTTCTTTCCAAAAAAACACATACTGATAGTAAACTAGTAAAGTAATGTAATACTATATATCATTCCCCACCCTCTCTCACACAACTACAGTCTACAGATATTTCTTTCTCTTATATCCCTTTCTTACATTTGGGAACGTGCCACATCATGCTTGTTCCCCCCCACCCCCCAGGTACAAAAAGTTGCATGGCTCACCAAATTATAATTAAGTATTAATATTCTGATTTCATATCTTTGATTCACATTATTTTCATATAAACTATATGTTAAAAAAATGTAATAATTTAATATATATCAACGAATAGGAGTGAAGTACTATTATTTTTTTTGTGGGTGTGTGGGGAGTTAATGGAAAACCTACCCTTATAGCAATTTAATTTGATCTTGAATAATTTGTGTGGCATGATGAGATTGCACGACACGACGTGTCGTTACTGCACTTTCCTTTCCATATATTCCTGGGAAAGATTATGACTCTAGATGAACATTTTCAATGTCGTTACTGATCTTTCCTTTCCATACATTCCTGGGAAAGATTATGACTCTAGAGAAACATTTTCTATGCATCGGAAAACAGTGTGTATATATGTGTGTACACGTGGGAACACGTAATCCTAATAATTACTATAGTCATATGTTTGGAACAGTTGCGATGTTCCTCCTTTTTCACCAACACTGTTAAGTTCTTACTATACAAACATGTGAGAGTGTGAGACTAATGTATACGGAGTACAGAACCATCCCATGAATGAATAATACTAGCTAGTATGTTATTGGCTGTAATTACTATATGTGATCATAGCTAATAAATCTGTGTGCCGTGCCTTTTTGGTATTCTGTTATAGTTTTATTCCATATTTTGATTATTGAGGAATAGGAAAAAGACTTTTTTCATATATGTGCATCGAGAATTTTTCAATCAGAAAGACTATACTAGTTTAAACAATAAATAAAACACTTATTTTTCTTATTTTTTTTAATTATAAGATAAAAATTACTCTTTATTATATATATATATATATATATATATATATTTATCTTATTTTAAATGAAGTTTTAATATCATTTTCAGAAAGTAAATTGAGTTTAACTCAATTTTATAAAACTGATTTATAAGATTATTCTTTATTTATATATGTTATTTTGGTGAAATAATTAATCAATGTGATTTTAATGTTTAATTTTTTTATTAACCAAGTATATCTTGTAACTCAATTAAAGACTAATTTTTTAGATATTAAAATCTACTTAAAAAATTGATATTTCTTAGAAAAATAATTTTTCGTTTATATAAACTTGGATTTGAATCTCTAACTACATAATTAAGAACATTATTATTTGTCGGTGATAATACATAACACACCATTGTTGATCACTTTTTTCCCTCATACCCTTATCCATGGTCCCTCATCATTGATTCAAGCAAAGATTTTCTTTAGTGGTAGTGGACTGATGAAGCCACATGGTTGTGTTCCAAATTCGATGTTTGGACGAATACGCAAGTTCCAAATCCGGTGTGCGATCCAATGCGATAGATAGTAAAATGAGTGCATGTACCTTTATGAATGAATAATTTAAACTGGCCCTAATGATTAGAGGACATATAAACTTGGACTGTGCAATCTTGCTTTCGGAAAGATAATTCATGAGATCAGAATATATATAATAACGTAATATGGGCTACTCAGCTAACCTAAGAGGCACCCAATAATCTCTTGATGGTTTGTCAGAGCTAGCAAGGGGAGATGTCACAACAATTTAAACAAGATTCTGATTCTGTTTAGAGAAGAATCATTTGCGTCACATTCACTGTTATGTTATGCCAACAACACCAGCCACCCCATCCAATACAATTTTAAATTATGGGTCATAAAATTCTCAGAAACTATGAGGGCCCTTCTCATAGTTGAATAATCCTATTTGATGAGATAGTTTTAACAAGATTCTCCGGGGAAAAGAAAAGCACGAGATTTTAAGGTTTGCAATTTTTGAATGATATGTTTTCACAATGCGTATTTGTTCGGATGGAAACTTTAGAATGGTTGCCATTAAAGATAAGTATATATGGACAAAAGTGTATTGCATAAATTTAACAGAAGGTCTGAGTAGTTAAAAAGAAACTAAAAAGGGCTATTTTATTTCTAGGAAAATAAAATATAGATCCGATTGTACAAGTTTCTCTATAAATAACTAAAGTAAATTAGAGTTTTTCCCGTAATTTAAAATCAACTTAGCTAAGTTACATGAAAGAGCTTTTACTTTACATCTACATTAAGTTAGAACTGTTGATAGATATGCTTAAAAATAAGCTGCACCATTTAAACTAATCTGACATTAATCCTTTACTCACTAACTATTTTTTTGGTCTTGCCACAGGTATCTTCTAGCTCACCTCTTGATCCTTTACTCACATTATTGTTACTCACTAACTATTGATGTGTATAATAAACAATGACTATCTAAAAACACTATAATTTTCTATTGTTACCATTTACATGTCCCTGAAATCGAATGACTCGGTTCAAAAGTCTTCTTTACAGCAATGACCAATTTCATGGTTGGTCCAAACATTACCTTCAAAATTCAAATTGTGGGGTTTGAGGAGGAAGCATAGTTAGAAAAACACATCATGGGTGGGCCACTGGGCCAAGCCGAAAATGCAAGTCCGTGATACAAAAGGTATGACGACGTGCAGCTGCAGAATAACACAAGATTAGGAGCAATAGTATAACGTCCAAATGCAAAACTGTAACAATGGAATCTAAATGCCGCCAACTGTACATGACTCTCATTATTGTAGTGATGGATAACCAGGAAAAAAAAAAAAGTATTTTCCAGGCTTGAAGCCAAGCAAGCAAGCTAGGTTCAAAGCTGATTAGATTAAACTGTTTTGATCGAGCATATGTAAACCAGTATGCCGGTTACCTACTATTTTACTCAATACAAAAGCTCAATGATTTGACCTTGAGAACTTTACACATTTACGGTAACAAGGGTCAAATATACTCGTGTCATAATTTTTGAAATTATATTTTCAGAATTTAGAATTTTAATATACCCAAAACAAGTATATAATCTTCCCTTAGAGTTAAGAGGAGATACTCTTTAAATGTTCTGAACTTTGACAACTATTAGAGTTTCTAAAGGAGATTTTCGTACGAAATAAAATCAAATGTATACAAACAAATCACTTTGAAGAAAAAGTTGTTTCCACGACTATAACCATAGCTAGCATTAAAGTTTATTAAGAAATGAGTAAAAGGAATTAGTATTTACGTGACCAGCATTAAGAGGGGCACCAAAGAAAAAAAAAAAAAAAAAAAAAAAAAAAAAAAAAAGGGGCACCAAAGAAAAGTAGAATACAGAATCCTTGCTTTTGTTGTAGAACCACTCGGTGGAGTGCCAGATCTCCAAATTTTACTTCTCTCAATTTAGCAAAATATTGCATTTTGGAATCAAACTAACAAAAAGATAAGAAGAATGTATTTATTCCACCAAGTGGGTCTAGTCATATGCAAATAGTTTTCATTTTAAGAATTAAAAATCTTCAGCATCTGAATTGTTTACTGTCCCGTGGGTTTTCCAATTGTGACTTCAAAGTTTATCATATCATATTAATATATACTGCAACCAGGGTGACTAATGCCGGATAATTCCACAGGATATGAGTAGAATCAGAATGAGTTAAAACTACAAGAGAATGATATTCCAAATTTATAATGCAATGTACCATTCCCAATTCATAATTGATAACTTTCGGGATGGAATGATTGCCAAGCCCTGCAATGGAATTAATGCAGAATGGAATCGGATTTATTTTTTGAAAACTGCACATGTTTTAGCTCTGAAAAATAACTTGAATGTTTGACTCATTATATTAAGAACTACATCTGGTGCAGTTTTTCTAGCACTTGTAGAGGATCATAGTAAAAGTTAACCCAAAGGGCCTAAAAGTAAATACCCCTCACAAGAATAATAAATAAAACTAGCTTTTCTCATGCAAAATATTTACATTCAGATTCTTTTTATAAATTAATAATAAAACGTTAAAAAATATATATAAACATGAGTATGGCATTGAAGATAAAATACCCCGTATTTTATGATTATGATACTTCAATGGTAACTTTGATTCGCAATACTATTATGCTTGCATATTTCTTTCACAGATTTATATTAGATTTTGAAAAATTACATGAGGATTTTAAAATAATTGTAAGACACGAAAGGTAAGAATAAAATAAAATTTAACAGACTAAATTTAACGAGAGCAATATTTGTAATGCTATAAAATAAACAATAATAAATTAAGAAAAATATATTAAATATATTACATGAATCACGAAATTATTTATCCCAAATCTTCGGAGAGGTATGATGATTCCTGATTTAATAGAAAGAAGCATAGAATATATAACAGTTATAAAGGATAAAGACAATAAGACATAGATGTTGTTTGACCGTATAACACAGCTGAACACATCTGTGATGAACTATTTCAGTGGACTGAAAGGGTAAATATTTGGAAAATGGAAACTGTTTGCGGCTAGACAATATAATTGAAAGAAAAATTTGGCTCGTGATTCTGCAAGAAAATACAGGATAGGTCAAAATTGGTTAGAAGCGAGAAGTGACCAAATAAAGAGGGGGAGGCATGGAAAACAATGTACGGGCACCAAGAGCTAAGTGAACCCAAAGAAAGTGACTCAGAAAAGTGATATTTGATCTTCTCCCACATTCTTTCTTTTACTTTCTATAGAAGTAACAATAATACCAACAAATATGGCACCAACACCACAATGCAATTAGGAAAAAACATATGGTTGTCCCAAAAATATAAGGTTCAGAAAGTACCAACAATCAATACTTGAATTTTTTTTCCTCAGGTACTTTTGGTACCTCTGCAGCATTTATTCATTGAATATCGAAATGGAAAAGCAGAGTTGTATTTACTACCTCAAACCTATTAAAGGTATACCTTGCTTAACTTCCTTGGGACAGTTAGAAAGAATTTATGGAATTTGTATGATGCTAGAAAGACGTTTCCCAAGTATAAAGGATCGATTGTCTTTTGATACTAATGGGTAATGTGTGCTTTCTCGGTTGAAAGGAAACTTCTCCAAAGCAAAATTCCAATGAGAATCTAAATATTTAGGTTCCTCACCAGTCTCACCAGCACTGTATCTTCAGTGTATCTCAGGATTCATCCACTCTTTTTCATATTTCGTACAGTATAAACAGATTGTATGTGAAGCTGTAAAAGATGGCTACACAGGTGGTGCGATGAGTTGAAGATGAAATTTCTACATCAACCACTATTGTGTAGTCACAAATTTCACATGCCTACGATACTCTTCTAGGACCAAAAACAATACAGATAAGACAAAAGATACTGAAGCTTGACAAGTGTATCTCAAGGATGCCATTAGGAATCGAATTCAACAAACTAAATCTAAGATGAAATTTGGAAGATTGGAGAGTTAAGTTGTATATCCCTATTTCACGTATGTCTATTAGTCTATGTAACATACCTAGTTTTGCGATTGCACTTTGTACATTATTACATGATGCAGTGTTCTGCATACGTTATATATATGCTGGGATAATTAACTACTTTTGTTGATGAATTTGGCAAGGTTCCCTTGACGTCCCACCATAATATTTACAAAATATATACATGGACTTTATAAGAATTGGCATCATTGATGATTAGTACTCAAGCTTGCTAAGTATAGGGGAAAATGCAAATTATCACTCTAAGGTTTGCATCATATGTAACATAGCCTCTAATTGTATAATATCTCGATTCTTAAGGTTTTTAAAGTGTGTGAATTATTAAAGAATGAAGAGTATTAGCATTACTCTTTCTAACACTCTCAACTATTGAATAAAATGTATTAGAAATCACATTTTGTTGAGTATCACTTATCATTTAATGAATCTCTCTCTTGTCCAATTTAGAAGTGAAAACTACCAAAATTTGTGAATTCTGATAAATTCCGGTCAATAATGAGAATGTTGTTAACACTCCTTTTTAAAGAAATGCATCACATGAGTAGCATGTAAATTTTACTCTCTAAAAATTAGTTTTTAAAAGTTGCTTTATGAAATGGTGTTTAAAAACTAAAAAACAAAACTACAATCAAAACACCCCAAGTCTCACATGACCCAAACCAGTCATGGGCAATTACATTAACATGCTAGTCACGCGATGCTTTCTATCAATATTTAACAAAAATAAAATTACAGATGGATCATTTCACACATTTTACAAACCTTAAGAAGCACGTGACCCAAATTTTAGGGAGAAAATTTGCATTTTTCTCTACAATATAGTTGTTAATTTGATTAGCACATACAATCAGGTCAAAATACCTTCAATGTGATAATTGCCTTTTGTTCGAGATGCATCCTATGTTCTGGGTTCAATTAAGGGAATGAAGAACCAAGAACCACTTTGGAAACAAGACATCGCCATACCAATTCCAGCTACTGCTATGGAACATAATATTGATAATGAACTTGCATAATATGCAGCCCAATGTCATATTTCATACTTTAGTTCTTCATCCAGTTTCCTCGATAGCTCATAAGAAGCCTCTGATCCAACAAATATAACGTCTTAAGTCAAAAAGGAGGGGAAAAAACTTACAAGTGGACATTGTAAAGAAACACGTTTACCTTCAAGGTTCAAAATGATCTCTAGCGAAATGCATTTTATTTGTAGCTAATACAGCCTTCCAGAAACTTGAAACAACCTAAGGCATATGAGATGGAGGAAGAGATGAAAGATGCATTGCACACCACATAAGCCACTCAGAAAACTAAATAAGCAACTAAAACATGAAAATACTCGACTTCACAATTGGTAGGCAACCATAAACTTGATCAACATAAGGGTTCAACAAAAATATATCAACATAAACTTCCCTTCCAGCTTACTCAATCAGCGTATCATCATATATCATGAAAAGGAATACTGGCTAACAAAAATATAAAAAGGTGTAAACCTAGCCAACTATCATGTCTGTAACAGCAACGAAGTCAGCAACTAACTAACAAATGAGTCTGCCAAAAAAAAATTGTCTTAAACTCGTAATGTTGAAAATTTCTTTTCTTATAGGAACTTCAGAAGGAAAAAAAATGGAAATAGATTCCTAAAAAGAGGTTTGCAAGCATCCATCAAGAAGAATAAAAAAGGCGAATGCTAGTAGTCTTCACATTTATTAAGCAAACCAAGGTGGAGAGGTTACTTTTTTTGACATAGGCAAAAGGAAATACAGACACTATTAGACCAAAGTACAATCGACCCAATCCCAAGACAAAATATTTCACAAGACAGATAAGAATTGAAAGATAGTATTTATATGTTCAAAAAGACTCCAAGCTATTTGTTAACCATGCAAATGTGCCTTTTTTTCTATTTGCTTAAAACAACACTGTACAGGTTAAAAACAAAGACTACCAGTTTACCCGCAAAACATATCAACTGCACCCACGAAGAGCAACACATTTGGATGGAAAACACATTTTGGATCTTGCTGCATTGCCTGCACAGTATTTTCTGATCTTGCTGCATCAACCTGAACTGAGTGATCAATGACAAGATCTACTGGTACCTGCAGCCAAACAATATTGAATCATTACACACTCCCACATTTAATAAGTAAATATAAACTCACAATATCAATCTAAATTCATTAATTTTATTAGATCACCACCTAGCCTGTCCATTGCATCTCTCAGATGACTAATGTTTAACAATCAGAATGCTTTTAGTCACAAACAATCCTATAATTTTCTTCACTCAAACTAATGGTGTTCCATACTCGCATCAACATGATACCATTAAGGAAATAGAAAAGAACCATAAATCAAAAATTGCATTCGGTTTCAGAACCAATATTAATACAATAACCTAAGCAACTGGAACATTTTCAGGTTCAATGATTTCATCAGTTTCCATATTCTACAAAATTAGCACAAAACAGAGGCATATCTAGAATTTAGCTTCATCTAGCGACTAGTCAGTACCAACTACCAAATTCCCCATACACTTGAAGGCATGAAGTTCTCATTTCTAGATGCAATTCTCCATACACTTCAAGCTATTGAAGCACTGAGCACAGAAATTTTATAATCAACCCACATATGTATACTACTTGTGTATGTAAACAGTGTGGTCATTACATGTAATAATGAGACAGCAATTAAAATCTGAAAAAAAAGGCTAGCAACTCATTTTGAAATGGATTTGTGAAAGTTGAAGTATTTCCTTGAAATAAAGGTTGTCTATTTATGCATGAACCCTGTGAGAGACATCTTCAGTCAATTGAGAGGATCCTCAATTATTTGAAGGCAATTCTAGGAAAAGGAATATTATTTATGAGAGAAGGCTCACTATCCCAAGAGATATACAGTGATGTAGACTATGCAGGGTCAGACATAGATAGAAAATCCACCTCTGGTTGTTGTTTGTTTCTTGGAGAGAATCTAGTGGCATGGAGGTGCAAGAAGCAAAATGTAGTTGCTCAGTTAAGTGCATAAACTGAATTTCAAGTTATGGCACTTGACATACGTGAAGAATTATGAATGAAAATTATCCTTGATGGCCTCAAAGTTAAATATGAGAATCCTATGAAATTGTTTTGTAAGAACAATTCTACTATTAGCATTGCTCATAACCCAATCCAACATGACAGAACGAAACATATAGAGATCAACAAACACTTCATCAAAGAGAAGTTAGATGGAGTTATTGTTTGTAGTAGCACATGTGCCTATAGGGCTCCAAGTGGCAGATGTCTTCACTAAGGGGCTTCCTAGTGCAAGATTTTAAGATCATATTAGCAAGTTGGGAATGATTGATATTCATTTATAAACTAGAGGAGAAGTGTCATAAATATCAAAGATATGTTAGGCATAATTTTTACACTATAAAAAGGGAGATTAATGAATGTACAGCACACAAATTAATATACAGTTTTATTCTTTTCCAATGTTCTCTTTCAACTGTAAATAATAAGAAAAAATATTAGGAACAACTTGAGTTCAGCCACAGAAAGTAATGAACAAATGTTGAGCTAACTTAAAATAACAAAGTCAAATCAATAATTGATAATTATTTAACAAACGTAACTGAGTCATAAGTTCACACTAGTTTGTATATACATGGATTGGTTAATGTATAGGTTACTTTGGACTTTGTTATGAACACATCATTACAGATATTCCAATCAATTTGGTCTAATAAACAGAAATGCATGCTGCTGCTCTTAATATTTGTTTACTATCTGCCATAGACTTAAAGCAGCTCCCAGTTATGTGGTTTTATAGATGAGAGTTCACTGCTTTCTGATGCAAGACAATTCTCTAGACCAATTTTGCACATCCCAAGTTATAAAACGCACAAGAAAAAATATAAAGAATCATGTTTTACATTCTAAATTTCTAATACCTTTCTGAGAAGCCTCTCTATATCTGACAGCGGTCAGTCAGTAACTGCCTTGAATCCAGCTTAGTCCAGGCATTTTTCTCAGACCTCCCGTCATTTTGTCCCTCAACTTCTTCACATCATCCCACCTCCCATCACCAGCATATATATTAGAAAGCATAACATTATCAGCAGGATTACTTTCAGAAAGCTTCTGTGCTACAGTTTCTGCAAGCTCAGAATTTCCACAAGAATTACAGCATGATAATAAGGCTCCCAGGATAGCCTTGTCTACTGGTTCTGGTAAGGACTGGATCAGATTGTAAGCCTCTTCCAACAACCCAACACTGCCAAGGAGCTTCACCATGTAAACATAATGCTCAGGCCTAGCTCTGATGTTAAATTCATCTTTCATTCTCTGGAAAATCTCTCGACCACCTTCGACAAGGCCAGCATGACAACAGGCACATAGGAGAGAAGAGAATGTCGCTTCATCGGGTACCAGTCCTTGCTTCAGCATCTTATCAAACATCCTGAAAGCCTCGGAAGCACACCCATGCAAGCCAAAACCTAAAATTACTGAATTATACGAAACAACATTCCGTTCTGGCATTATCCTGAAAACACAAATCCCCAGGTGCAAGAAACCACATTTCAAATACATGTCTATTAGAGCAGAGGAGACCCTGACATCTAATTCCAATCCATGCCGAAGAGCATAACCATGTACCTCACATCCAAGTCCTACATTCACCGTCTGAGCAATAGAAGCCAATACACTAGCGATCAAAACAGAATCTGGCTTCTTGCCTTCCATGTTTAATTTCCTAAAAAAGTGCAGCAGATTCCCATACTCCCCAGACTGTGAATACCCCGCTATAAGAGCAGACCATGTGACCAAATCAGGATTCAAAATACTTAAAAAGACTCTATATGCCGAAGCCATGCACTTACATCTCGAGTACATACTCACCAGCAAACTACCAACATGAGAATCAGAATCAAGGCCACTCTTTTGACTCAAACAATGTAATCCTTGACCAATACTTAGCACCCCAGAATCCGCAATACCCACAAGCAACCCAGCCAGTGTATATCCATCAGGCTTCTTCCCAACAACTCTCATCGCGCTAAACATCTGCATCCCTACATCCCACATACCAAACCCCCCATAACCAGAAATCAATGAATTCCACAACACTAAATCCGGTTCAGCGATCCCATTGAACACTCTATGCGCTTCATGAACAAGGCCTAGTTTCGAATAAGCAGTCACAAGTGCACTGCAACAAATAGGGTCCATTCCCAACTCTGCAGCCACAGCACCTCCATGAACACGTCTTAGCGTACCGTAATCAAAGTTGTCAGCACAGGCACGTATAACACAGGCATAAGTGTGGCTGTCAGGACTAATGTCAGCCCCAAGCATGGCTCTAAACAGAGCGATTGCATTGGAAAATCTTCGGGACTGCGCAAAAGCCCGAATCATGGAATTCCAAAGGTAGACACTTCGGGTGGAAGTATTATCAAACACATGGTGGGCAGAGTTAATGTCGTTGTTGGCTGCGTAGAGCCTAACGATTTTTGTTGCGTAAAAGGGGTCCTCTGAGAGATGGGTCTTCAAAAGAAATGCGTGTAACTGCTTCGCCCTCAAGAGGGGCCTACAAATGTTGCTGAGTTCGGAATGGAGCCATTCGAACCGAATCAACATTAAGATATAAAAATGTGAACTTGTTGCGTGGCTTTTGTGATACTGCTAGCATCGACGATGACACGCGTGTAGCTAATGATCATGATCATCGTCAGTTGAAGAACAACAAGTGTTAGCATTCAAATTTCAAAGTGGATAAATACATGTTGGAGTGTTAGATGAAAAATTACCACTACTATACATTCTTTTAAATACAATTTTTTGTTCAGTTAAAATTTATTAAAAATACAAATTTTGATACATCGTACACCTTATTTAATATTTTTTATTTCTAAATGTTGTATTTTTTTTTATAAATTTTAATATGTGTGTTAAAAAAATATTACTAACATTCTTCTTTTTATTTGTATTGAAAAATAAAATATATTTCGAGTTTTGAAAAATATTATAAAGGAAATTTTTTTAATAGTTTTAAAATTATAGTTTTTTTTCTAATAATAATAAAATTATAAATTAAAAGTCAATATAAGTTATTGAAATGGAACCCTAATTCAAGTTGAAGAACAACATAAAGAAACATCTAAGAAAATACATTTAAATTTTTTCATGTGCTGAATTTGTGAATGAATTACTCCCAAATATCCAATTAGTCAAGTAGTTAATTTAATTGATATAATTATTATATTTAATAATATTACATTTATGATCATATATATCAAATTTTAAATGATGTGGATTTATTTGAATATGTTATCTAATCATAGATATTTATATATATTTTAAACATCATTTTATATGTTAAAATAAATGAATTATAAAATAATTTTAAAATTAAATATAATTTTATATACTTAATCTAATTCATAATACCATCATCATTAGTTGAATTTGCATTTTATATACATGATATATATATATATATATATAATCTTATTTCATGTAATTTTTAATAATAAAATATAAAATTAATTATAATATTAATTGTTAATTTTTTTAATCAATGATTATTATTACACTTTATTATTTAATTCTCTCATTTTAGTGGAGTTAGATCCAATAAATTCATAATAATTAATCACATGTTACAAAAATAAAATTATATAAATTTAAACAAAAGATACAAATTTATAACACTGTAGTAAAAGAAGATATATTTAGTTTTTTGATTTATTGTATCTAGGAAATATTTTTTTATATATTATATATATATATATATATATATATTTGAATTTTTAATAAAATAATTGACCCTCAAATAAAATTTAAATGTTAAAATGATAGTAACAAATAATACATTTTTTACACAATGAAATAATTATAAAAGCAAGTAATCACTGGTTGTAAGAGTGCCCTTAGCCCTTTTTTCAGTTTTCTTTTTATTTTTCTAAAAACCGTTTCTTTTAACTAAAAGGATGAAATTTGGTTGTATCTTGGGTTGATTTCTTTTAAGTTCCATAGTAGTAAAGTTGATCATTTTGTTGTATTATTTGTGTTATATAGATTAAGTGTTTTTTTTTTTTGGTAAATATAGAGATTAAGTTTAAATTTCAAGTTATTTATGAAAATGGGCTTGTAAATGTACAAATATTTGGGAAGTTGATCCATTCGTTGGCCAATATCTAGGGAACAAAACAAACATACAAATAATTTTAAAAAGTCTTGTGCACCTTAGGATTCTGGACTATGTCACCAAAGTGTTTTCAAAAGGTATCTACGTAAAAGTAAAAGTAGTTTAATAGCCTATTGCTCATATAAATTTTTTAAATTATTTCAATATTTGATTTATTTAAATCAGAATAATTACATATGATATAATCAAATCAAATACATCCTTAGTTCAAATAAAACTAAACTTATATCTTTAAGTTAAATCTCATATTAAACCTTGTAAATAAAAATACATGATAAGAAAATAAAGCTTCATTAAAAATAGTTAATCAACAAAATTATTTATTAGATCGATAAAGTTTCATTAAAAATAACTAGTCAACAAAATTATTTATCAGGTCGATAAATAATTCATATCAATAAAATAGTTACAAAAAATAGTAAACAAAATTTTTTGTTTTCTTAATCACAAAAGGTTTTAGATTAGAATAAAACATAATTTCATACTAAATCAAAGTTAACTATCAATTTCTTTAAATATTTTTAATGGAATTACATATTATTTATTTCATTTTAACATAAACCTGCATAGAAAGATATAAAATATAACAAGTCAAATTCAATCTTAGACTTTAAGTAGAAGTAAAAGAACTTAACCAACTATCTTTACAAGACAAATAACAAAAACAATTAAAATAATGACTATATATAATTTTTTTTTAAAAATATTGAAATGTTGAAGAAATTAGGATCTAATATTTTGAGAGAGTTAATTTTAAAAGAAAAATAAATAATTTTAGGATAATTAAATTAGCACCATAGCTAAAATAAAATTATAAGTATTATTGCTTTTGGTCTTAATTATATACAGCAATCATTGATTTTTAAAGTTACTTAAAATTAAATTTTTTATACATTTTATTTATTATAAATTTTATTTCTTATGCATTTATTTATAACTAATATTAAGATAACTACTTAAAATAAAAAATATATTTAAAATAAAACTTGAATTTATGATAAAATTAATTAAAAGTAATCATATTAGTTATCTTGAAGATTTATTTTATATTACTTATAATTATGGTCGGAGGTAGTACCTTAAATTCTCAAATAATGTAAACTAATATTAAAACTGAATAAGTTTTGAAAATTTGTGCTATGTGAATCACAGCCCATTAATTAGGTGATTCAAAAAATATATTTTTTTTTACCAAAAACGTGTTTTTGATAATTATTCACTTATAGAGAAATAAACATAAAACCTATTAGAATAAATATTAAGATTGGAAGTGATTTTTTTTTTCGAACATTTTGTCATCATGTAATTCCTATGGATAAAGGGGAAATGGTGATTGTGTATACATTTTACTTTTGAAATTTAAAATTCACTCTGCCATTACAAAAGCAAACATGAAAGGCAATGTTATTTTCGTGGGGTGGTGTTCTTGAAAGTTGAAACCTGCTGCCATTACAAGAGCAACATCCCCCCAACCCACCATTTGGAAACACTTCCTACTTTATACATCAAAATATTTAAACTGTAAAATGTACATCTGGCAAATCTAGAGAAAATATGTAATCTATAGTTCAAACGCTAATGTAGTACTTGTTCTGTTCTATCAGTGTTAAGATGACGGATGAACTCCTGCTTTAATCTTGATCTTCGTCCATCCCATCTGCAACAGACCTGCTGCATAGCGTATATAGTTCTTAGCTTTTGACAAAAGGAATCAAATGTGGTCACATTCATTTGCTAATGATCACATGTCCTATTCAACAATATATTCTCTTGATCTCAAAAGGTAATTGGAAATCATAAGGAAGTATTACCCTCAATCCGAGATAAATCAAAAGGTTTTATACTAGAAGGAATCTGGAGTTGGAAAAGTTAGTTTTCCACATAGTTTACTAATTAAAAAATAATATTCCTAAGAAACATTGTTTCCTAAAAATGACTTTTACCTATGTTTCCCACAAGATTATTTTCATGGGAGTAGGTGACAATCTTAACATTCCCAAGTTATTGTTGTGCGTAATCTACCTAGTGAGATCAGACTATGGTTATCGTTGTCGTCACTTTTCACATTTATTTGTAAGTACTCAATATCATGCAATGTAATGAAAGTTGTGACAGTAAATTATTATTTTCGTTTTTAGCTTATTTTAACAGGTTTACAAAGAGTCTAATCAAAATAAATTCTTTTTAACTTATTTCAATATTAATTCATAGTAAAACTTATGAATACTATTGATAAGCTCTGATTGAATAAGTAATTGTTTAAAAATAATTAAATTTTGGAAAATAATCACTTATTTTGGTTAAATTACTCAGTTGGTCCCTAAATTATTTAAGAATTTTCATGTAGGTCCTTAAAAATAAATAAGCAAATAAAATTGGATCCTTGACAATTTAATTTTCTTTTAATTGAATCCCTAAGGTTCTTAATACCATCATAAATTATTTAGGGATCAATCAAATAATTTAGCCACTTATTTTTCAAATATTCTCTCAAGAAGTTTTCAAAAATAAATAATTATTTCCTACATTAAAGCTATATCAAACACATACTGCTTAATAAGTACTAGTTTGGGGAAAAAATTGGAAAGATATTTGCTTCCTTTGAAAGCCCTCTCAAAAAACTAGCTACAGGAAGCGATAACTTCTCTAATATAAACTAAACTAAGCATACCCTAAGTTTTATGTCCAAACACATCTTAAGAGCAAAGTTATGAAAAAATGCTTAAAGAGCACTGAACTATCTAGCCAAAACTTCAATCGAAATTCAGGGTGGAGTTACCAGGCTACATGGAGCATTAAGGTTACAGTTTCACAAACCCACAATATACCTACCCTTATGCTATAAAGAGTGATAAACCAAATGGACTTACAATTCAACTTTAAAACAATATACAACCCTTACCTCGTTTGGGCAGTTAAATCAGAGGTCTTTGAACTAGTCATCTCATCATCGTGATCAGAATCATCAAAATCTTCACCATTCCATATGCGACATTTTGGTCTTATGTCCATGTCCTCCTCTTCCTGAAACCATTGACAGAATAAAATCAAACAAAAAGAAGAAAATGGAAGAGTGACAATATGTGCAACTAGTTTAAGTAACAACATCTTCTGGAGCTTCTGTGGTTGATGGTGTTGTTTGAAAAGCTACACTGGGTGCATGCGGAAGCCTGGCAAGTTGTTCCAGTAATGTAATCCTGGAAAATTAATTTAAAAAAATCCATTTTAATCAAATTTAGCTCCAAGAGAATCCTAGCAATCATCACTAGATGCTTAAGTAACACATGACTAGATGAGAAAGAACAGAAAATCACTCAAACATTTAACTGTTACCACACATGCAATTATTTACAAGATTCCAAAAAGTTGAAGCATCATATTTGCAGAAAGGATGTGACTTAGCTACAGAATAATGTGATGCATCTGAATAATTAGATTCAGAATTATCAATTAATTATTCATGTCTAGCATTTTTTTCCACAAGCATGATGAAAAAAGTATTGAAATCAGAATCATCAATGTGATGCAACACAAAAGGAAATCCTAGTTACCATCAGTAGATGCGTAAGTAACATGACTAGATGAGAAAGAACAGAAAGAAAATCACTCATAAATATTTAACTGTTACCAGATGCAATTATTCACAAGATTCCAAAAGGTCGAAGCATCATATTTGCAGAAAGGATGTGACTTAGCTACAGAAAAATGTGGTGCCTCCGAATAATTAGATTCAGAATATTCAATTAATTATTCATGTCTCGCATTTTTCCACAAACATGATGAAAAAAGAATTGAAATCTGAATCATCAATTGAGATGCAACAGAATAAGCAATTAATTTAAACTCACCGAATTTTTTCCAGATCCCTGCTTGTGTTTAGGTTTTCCATGTTGGATGGTTCAACATGAAGAGTATAGTCTGGGCCAAAATATTCATAATATTCATTGTAAGGCAACTTGGGATCAGGCTCAATTCCTACTGCCACCGCTGTCTAAAACAAAGACAGTACAAAATAGTAATCAATAAATAAGTAACACAAGCCATCACCAAAATGCATTTATAATCCTGCCCAAATAGGTAAAGAAAGAGACCTCATAACACCAACAACGAGCAACATTACGAACTGTATATCCTCCCCCACCCAAGACCATTAGAGGAACATTGAAAGATCTAAGGAAACGAAGGCAATCTGCATGACCCTTCACAGTCAAGTTGAAGCAACCCAACCGGTCACCAGTCAATGAGTCAGCTCCACATTGAAGAACAACTGCATCCGGTTGATAAACATCCATGACTTTTTGAATGATGGGGCGAAACAGACCACGGAAAGTCTGATCATCCAATCCATCATTCAGTGGGACATTTAGAGAATAATTCATTCCAGGGCCCATCCCAATGTCTTTAATGTGCCCAGTTCCGGGGAAAAAATCCCCAAACTTATGAAATGACACTGTCATCACCCTATCAGTAGTGTAGAATGCCTCCTCAACGCCATCCCCATGGTGAACATCAATATCAATATACAGCACACGCTGACCATCACCAAAGAATACATTTTGTGAATAGTATAATCAGGAAAGTAACAAGATATTTTATTCTATTTTATTAAAATTAACAAAACAAACACTTATATAACAAGTAATAGAGAAGCAGTTTTGTCTAAGTAAAATCATAAACTTTGATTTGAATAATTGTATATCCTGCTACTTCATTCTTCAACTAATCCTCCTACTTCCTTTTTAGGTAAGTATTGAATGTGTTTTTATTTCCAAGACATTAAGTGCATTTATTTTTAATTTAATACTTTACAAGGTAGGAGGAGGAACCATAGGAGGATGAGGTAGAAGAATATAGCATTACTTTTTTTATTCACGTGCAAAAGAACTACAGAAAATATATGTGTGTGCGTGTGTGTGTTTTGTCTCTCAAACTATCTTGAAATTCAATTTTAATCCTTATAAAAACTTAATATATTATCACAGACTATCTCCTTTGCATTGCATGTGTCAGTTCCTCACTTTGTAGGTGAAGCTTTATCCCATCATAGAATGGCAGCAAGCAATGATTGATGAGATATGTGGACTCCAAAGGAACCTGGAATTGATGCCCCTTCTTCCAAGGAAAACCATTGTTGGGTGTCAATGGCTCTACACACTCAAAGGTTGAACCTGATGGCAAGATTAATAGTTTTAAGGCTCATCTAGTGACAAAGGGTTATACCCAAACTTTTGGTCAAGATTATACACACTTTCTTCCATGGTTGACTGACCTTTGTCAAACAACTTTTCATTACAGCCATTTGCCATTGGCATTTGTTTCAATTGGACATTAGAAGTATATTTGGTCATATGGAACATACTGGTGGATCAACTAGTCATGCAACCATTTGAAACATATCAAAGTCACCAATGGCTAGCTACAACTCTAAATGATCCAACAAGAGCTTATCCCAGTGCCAACTCCGATACCAACTTCAGCCCTACCTCCTAACATTGAGTTGCTTATAGCCCTCAAAAAAGGTACTCGTTCTAAACCATAATCTAACTTTTTAAAGATAGTATCAAAGCCTATCATAGAGATTATTGTTGGACCTATCACATCACTTGTTGTCGGACCACTCATCAATGTCCAGATCTTGACAATAGGGATTTGTTGGAGAAGCAACTAGTAGTTTGGCAACAATAGAGTATATAAATAGGAAACAATTCTCACCTTATAAGTTGGTTTTGAAGGATTGAGTTAGGCTAAAACCCACATTATAGGATGGTATCAGAGCTTATCTTAACAATTGTTGTGGAACCTATCGGACTACTCGTAGATGTTCAATCCTGCAAACTTCACAATCGAGATGTCCGCACTCAAGATCAGCCCTTTGTATGAAGCAAGTGTGTTAGACACCTAACATCAACTAGTGATATGACCTTATTAGAGTATATAAGTGAGGAGCAATTCTCACTTTACAAGCCAATTTTGTAGATTTGAGTTAAACCCAAACCCACATTTCTAAGACCTACATTTGCTTACAATAGAGTGATTTTAGTCTTCATGTACTAAAAATGTTTTCTATTTGGATTAGGGGTTCTCATATGTTGTATTGGTTTGGGTTTAGGATAAAATTAAATCCAAACCGAACATATTTAATTGGGTTGGTTTGTTCAAATTTTGAATTTTTTTCATCCGATTCAAGCCAATCCAATTAAAGTCAAATTGGTTTGTTTCAAGTCACGTTTAGCAATAAAAAATTTAAATAAAAAAAATTACTGTATTTTTTTCAAGTTTTTACCTTCACTTTTATTGACAATTTATATAATTTTTAATTTTATATATTAATGTGCAATAAAAATATAATTATTCATATGGTCCCTACCCCAAATTTTGTGTTTTAGTCCCCATACCTAGAAACTTTAGGCTTTAGATTTTATACGAGCAATTTTTTATGCTTTAGTCTCTGTTGTCAATTATAAGTAACTTTATTAGCATTAGATGCTCTAACAATGCCACGAAGTTGAAATTGATAGTGTAAAATAGCCAGAAATTTGAAAACAAAGATGACTCGCCACACCGCTCAATGGCTTTGCCATCTCCCTGATCCTTCTTTCTCTTCTCCTCTCCTCGTCTTTCTTTCTACTTAGAAACCAACTAACCTACAAAATACAATAAGATAGGCTCTTACCTTTGTTGACTTCTACTTATGCTTTCAGATATGAGTAGTTGTAATGCAATGTTGTCAAATATCCGTTATAACCCCGTTATAACGGAAAAACGTCGCGGTTTGAACCTAAACCGCCATTCGCCATCCGTTATATGAAGGTTTATGGC